CATGAACTAACTAACCTTCTTACCACTAGTAAATAAAGAATTTCCCCAACTCTTATACCATCAAGCTTTACTGTGATTATTCTCCTTATAGTATTATTCCTCCAATTATTTTGTGTTTATTTTTTCAAAATTGCGGAACATTATTTAGGCTCAGCAATAACTGTTATCATTTTGTTTTTCCCTACTCATGCTATGCTAAGAGAACAATAGATTCAATACTCTATAACATTAAAAAATTCAGTGCTGTATCGATAGGATTATTTAGAGCAAACCTTCTGTTATCATTATTATTATTATTAAAATCATTATTCTCATTTTGTAATTTGCACAATTTGACTTTTTTCCTACTGCAAAGGTGGACAAACTCCCGTGGTTACTTTCATCCATATTTTCAGTAAATTGAATGCACTATTGTGACAAATGCTGAGAATCCCATGCTGTTTTAATAAGTACTGTTATGGGAATAAAGCAGATAGTCATTATTATTACTGTTATTATTCGAAGTACGTGTTCTCCCACCGTCCACACAGAAGCGTCAATATCCTGACTCAACAGTCACGCTCCAAGCTGTAAACAACTCAAGTATTGTTAAGTATGGACGCAAACGTGCGACTTCAGATTTTCGTCTGCGGAATGTATACACTTGATTATTTATCACTGCAGATGTTCCATCGCCAAACTTAGTCACTGATTTCACGCAGCACCATAAATTACTCGTAGATCCAATAAGTCCCAAATTGATCGACTCACACAGCAAAACACATATTGTTGCTACCATCAGCCGAGTACCGTCTTTAAATCTGATGATCACGCGCACGCCGGCATCTCCATATACCAAATTCGTGAATCATTTCCCCGATCTTCATCAACCGTTCGGATAAATCGAACTGAAGCATCATGTAGTTCATCATATAAAAACCACTAGAGCACCAGTTTCACACGCCCTCGACGCCTTAATCCACACTGACTAAGCATCGGAAAGGTGGAATTTGGTAAAATGCTTAGGCTTGGAACCATTCGACCGTCTAGCAGATCATGTTCTTCACCGATTCATATCATCCCTGAGAAGTCTTTTGAGAAACTGCATCATTTATCACATCCTTGAATCACTGCTACTACCAAGCTGCTGAGGGGAAGATTTACATGATAAAATACAAAGAGAGATGCCAAGGAGTGGCCGCAAAACTGATTGTCTTATCAAAGAGTGAAGATTCCTCATCGCATCAATGCACAGTTTGGTCGTTTTCCTAACCCCAACTCAAGAATTGACCAAATACACATATAGATATCGTCTGTCCACTACCTCCTTCCAATGGTTTCAGTTACACTCTCACTTGCGTCAATAGATTCGCTCGTTCGCCAGTAGCAGTTTCACTAGAAGACGTATCCGCCGAAACGGGTACCAAAGCTCTGGTTAAAAACTTGATAGCAAACTTTGGTCTTCCGTCCATTATCACGACAGACAGAAGTGCACATTTCGAAAGACGTCTTTCTCAACAACTCACTGAATTACTGGCAATTAAACGAATGCAAACAACTTCTTATTGCCGTGGTTACAGGGGGATGATTGAACGACTTCATGGGCAACTTCATACTGCACTTGCTGCCTCTATGACCGAAACGACTGGTCTTCCAAACTCTCGATGATACTACTTGGTGTACGACAAACTTTAAGGAAAGACATCGAACGCTGCGTTCCCGAGTTAGTCCATAGGACAACACTTAGATTACCAGGAGAATTTTTCACCTCAAATAAACAATTTCCAAGTGATACGACTGACTACGTGCATCTACTAAAGCAACACATCAGTGAGCTAAAAATATCACTTCCATGCCAGAAGCAACGACCATCACACATTCTGCTACAACCGACAAACTGAGCTCACATTTTCGTCAGGAGGGATGGTGTACAAGGACTACTTCAACCTGCCAACAATGATCCATTCAGAGTTCTACAGATGAATGACGAAGTTACCACGGTAGAACTACCGAATGAAGCAGAAGTCATCAGCGACGATATAGTCAAACCAGCGTTTATTGACGACTTCCAAGACAATGATATAGATCAATTGGATGACATGCCAACACCTCCAGTCACTATAACTGCAACGTCAACAGAAAAATCTGTGAAAACAACGCAATGCGGTAGGAGAGTTCATTGACATAAACATGACGTTCAAATTATCACTATCTAACTCATTGTGGATTTTCCTCCTTTATTGTCTTTATTCAAAAATAACATGTGACTACTAATCCACGGTATCGATATTTGCATATATAGTTCACACTGATATCATCTAAACACCGACGACTTTTGTTTTTGCACATTTACATTTAATCGTGTAATGTCTACTATTCCCTACTTACTATTTATCCAAATTCTACGGATAGCTGTCTGATTTTCATCAGTCCACATATTTTCTGTCGTAATTGTCAGTCCGATTGTCCTTAGTGCATTTACTTTTGATATTATTAGCTATCCATACAATTATTTTTCAAAACTCTGGATTGAATTGCTTGTTTCCCAGCTTCATACACTAACAGTTATCTGTGCATTATCACTAGCATTTTTTCAGGAAAACCCATATCATCGTCGAACACGTAAATGTATTATTTAATATTTCAGTGTTCTGGTGGGGGAATCATGTGGCACGCGCATATTAAGCCTAACTGTGCGCTTATCAGACGAATTCATGTGAGTATATTATGTGCTTACAGAAACTAATTTGACATATTCTTGGAGAATATTTGCCATTATATTACTAGGAATTGCTTTTCGTTTGTTACACGTATACTTTACTTGGCTATCCACATTCTGCATTCACCTCGCGCTTTTTCCAATTCAATTTCGATCTTTCACTTTAGCCTCTTAATACAACATTGTTCATCATTCACCGTGTGTAGTGTTAGCACATGGTAGTCATCAGCATATTTTCATCATTTCTCAAATTCCCAGATATACTGGCGCCGTACAGGTAATAATTTTGATTTGTCTGGACAATCAGCATATAGATGAACATACACATGTGTGCTACTACAGTTTGTTCACTGTTGAGATTCAGTTAATTTCATTCCATGTGGGGTTTAATTACTCCACATTGCTGACCTATTCCGTAGAGTAACTCTATGTGGTTATGTGAAACGTATGTATGCTTTAGATGAAATAGTTCGTGGATTTCTACCATCATTGATTACATCCTCGACATTGAGCAATTTCAAGTTTTCGAGGTGTACCAAGGGGAATTGCAGGTACACTAAATGTAGTCATTCACTAATTTGCCTGTTCATTTCCTTTCATTATTTGCGTTTTGAGTGACACAGTCTCGTGCGTAAATTCCTTTGTTTACCAGGATTACTAAGGGTGATAAAACCAAACGAGGTTATTAAGAGCGTCGACCAGTCCATCTCAAAGCATTTCAAGCAGCATCTCTACCATCATTAGACCAGAATTTCGCTAATCCTATGGTTCCTAATATCGGAAGGTAAACTATATGCCTTGGAGATAATATCAAATCTTACTCGGGATTTAGCCATATCCATCTCTTATTCAGGATTTACTACTAACAACTAACATGCACTCTTATTTCCATTGTTCCACACTGTGTTTTCCTATCCACACCAATAACTTCAATGAAAGACGTGCTGTCAGCCATCTCTGATTCTTAGTGTGGATCAAATGATGATATTCTAGTGATGCATGCATGAAGACACTGCGTGACACATCAAATTGAGTACCACAGCAACCACAGCACAAGTCGGAAATGAACATCGTCCCACAAACTAACAGCAGCATACCATGTGAATCAATGCTGGTCAGAGTGTAAGAGAGCTTGCTTCCACATCTATCCACAAACGTGAATGCCTGTGTGTCACTAATGAAGCAGCATCAAATGTCTGATCAACAAATAATGCACACTCTGTGTTCTCTCTCCTCTGTGCTGTTGATACACAAAACTGAATAGCGAGTGTCACTGGGTGACGTCTGTCTATTTGATTCTACAGTACACAAGGGGGACTGAAAAAAAGACTCACACAGGTGGATGTATATTGTTTGTGTTACTCACATTTCTTCAGTTGTACGAAATTCTTAGTTCTCGTGAAGAATGAGAAGCCCGTGTTCAAGTTTTCGTCATATGCGGAACGACATTCATGAATGTTGTGGTGTGGTGTGGCATGGCGTGGTGTGATGTGATGTGCTTTTACTATTGCGGTTATCTTAAATGCTGTCATGGTGTACGATGTTGTAATGATGTTACATTGACAGAACTCCCTTTTCCTAATGTACGACATATTCGAAAATTACACGAAATTTGTGCGATTCGCAGGGGTGTAATTAGGCTGATTCCATTCCAGAATAAGGATTTCGTGTACGAAATCCATGTGTACAGTTAATCCACACATTCTGACTTGTGAAGCAGTTGACAGAGTAAGCAAAACAAACGAACGTCAGTGCAATCTAAACGAAATCTGACATCATGATACTACAGATATATTCACGCCCAGTCGAACCGCATGCAAACTGCTCACTGAAGATATCTTGTTCCAGCGGTCATTGATTTCACCGACGCACATTTTCTGAACAATAACCGGTAAAGTCACACCATTATCTATCTCAATTACAAATTGATGATAGCAAGAGTTTACGCATCAAAATGTGTCCTGTCCATTCACCTCAGAAACTGGTTCCGAATCACAGCCATCCACACACTGACGAATACACTCAGGATGTTGGCGTTTTTCAGTAATCAATACTTTCATCAAACACCATAGCAATATCGAGATTTACACGGTGACAGGGAGAATGTCTCCACAGAAAACAGGTGCGTACGAAACTGACCAGATTTCCAACAATAAAGACTTTCATCATTAGTGTGTCGTCGAGACAATTCAAAACAAATGAACAATTGCGAATAGATGATTTATTGATTAAACTAAGGAACTACAAACTAAGTACTAATCATGGCAGGCGCTAATCGCCTTCACTGGTTCCGACAACTGGTAATTATCTCTGAAATGAAAAACACATAGGAATAAGTGTGAGTTGATTTGAAGAAATGGTGCAGATTGAAACAGATTAGGAATAACATTGACACCTAACTATTCTGCATGCCCAGGTAAACATATACTTTCTAGGATTCTCTGAAATAACTGGAACACGAATAACATGTCATTATTGATAGTGCTTCGTGATGACCAAGGCTATACTAGTTGAGTTTATCGATGAAGATGTGCACTATGTGTATAGAGTATTCTTCTTCGTAGACTCGCCAACTGATGAAAACCTAATGCACTGCATCAGTTCTATGAGAGATATATCAACTGGTGTTTATTTTGTAGTGTGCATCATACTGAAATGACTGAGGACAGAACGAATATCATTCACTTGTAAAGCAGCGTTGACTTACGCAATCACATATGGGGCAGATGTCATTTCCACCTCTTTCTGCACCGATATCATGGTTCAACTGACAATGAAAAGACAAACATGTAGACATGAGGATTTAATGGAATTCAGAGTATGGACAACACTTTGCGCAACAGAGTTCACGAGTCATTAGTAAAAATCCAAACCACCTCGATTGCAATATAACTGTTCCGATTCGTTATCAAGAAATCCAATCAAACATCACATTTCGACAATAGAAATATCAGCTTTACCTTTGACACTTTGTATGTCACTCTGAAGATGAAGTGTCTCGAAAACATCCTGTTAAGTATTACTGATCGACGTTCAATACCTGATACATCTGATATGTGAATAACAAACAATCCAAGAATTCTGTCATTGTGTTGACCGATTCGCACACAATCTTGTTGGAATCGCCCGCTCAACTCTTCACTCTCTCATATTAAGTCCATGTTACCAGTTCACTCATGTGTTCGTTCTCCAGTTAGCTTACTCATCGATTTAATCCTACTGCTTAGCATATTCAAAGTCTATTTCATTCACGTAATACTAAGGTTCTGATGATATGAAATCGAATTCTCAATGGTCATATTCACGTAGGTTAAATATCATTCACGTCTCTTACCTCTGAAATGCGATCCATTTGCTGAAATGTGAAACGAAAAGGAGTTAGGGGATCGTTGAGCAGTAACAAAGAATAAGCCAACTGATGAATGGGTCACTTCTCACAACTATGTGATACTGTCAACGTGATTTCGGTACATGTGACATAGTTTGCAGACGGGAAGTTATCGTTCAATCACTGGGAGAATGATTGATGAATTCGAAATGCGAATCAGATGTTGGCGATATAGAAATCTGTGTATCTCAGCGCATGTTTCTATTTACCAACATCAGTCTATGCAGGAATAGTTTCCTCTTGCCTACAAAACCAACCATTTCTCCACACAAACGCCTTGTACACTTGTGCAGCAGGATATATTGAACCCGCCTTGAATTTTTCCCACATGATCATTTCCAGTAGCCACGAATGCAATATGAATTGATAATATTGATAAAACTTACACACAAACACCTTTGACATTCACCGTCAGTCAAAACTAAGCGAAGTTCTGTGCCGTTAGCCTGAAAGCGAAAAACGACAATGTAGTCGCATGTAATAGTAAACAAAAAGTGAAAAGTTTTCAGATGAGGAATGCAACTAAATTTGTAGCTTGAAGTAACTAGTGCTGTGGAAATGGTGGATGATCATGCATAATGAGTGAACTCACCATATGCAAAGTGAAGTTGGTCACTAAAAAGCCTATAAGCAGAAAGCGGAAATGAAATCACATCAAAACAACTAGAGAAAAATATTCACACTTCGACACCATTAGTGATGAATGCGAGTATTCACCAGAGTGGCACTGTCTCATTCAATCAGTGGAAACGTCTAAGAAGCAATCAATATCTGACTGACATATGAATGTACCATTCGATCAAGCACGTCTGACAATCATCGTCATCATCATCGTCTGAGATGAATGACCAGACTGATTAATTGTGTAATGAAAATATCATCAAAATCATCAAAATATCATCACTCGAATTGGTTATGTGGCAAAACATCATTGACAAAACTCAAAATATCAAACACTGACAATTACTCGATTACACAGAATGAACACAGAGCATTCTCACTTACCTTCTACACAACACAGCGCCAAGACAACGCTCAGGACGAAGGTGTACTGGACATGCATGTTTGTACTGTGGATTGAATTACAGAATGGATGGTGTATATATAGTTGTTGGAAGAGCGTGGAATGACACACTGATTGTTACTATCAACAGAACAGTGTGGGTGTTGTTTCGTTTGTGCAAACCGATTGGATAAATATGACAACGGTGAGAGGACACATCACTTCTCAGACAATCGAAATTCAGACAAATGGTGTTTGTCTCCAACATCATTGGCTGACAAATATCTTGAATGCAAACAGAGAATGGTTCGGTTTTGCAAATTATGATCTCTGAAATATGCATTCATTTTCAGTGAAATCTGGAGAAGTGTTGCGTATTCTGAAATATCTAGAGGACAAAAATCACAAATACACAAAAATACAATAGGCATCGATATACTCGCCACCTCTGCATTGATCAGTGTTGCTTCTTATTCACCACATGAAAATCTGGCTGAGATGGACATATTCCCTGATCGAATTATCGCATTCTTTCTTGCTATCAGCAATGACGCTTAGCAGTGCGATTCAGAGGCTATGAGTTTGCTCAAAGCATACTGGTCTAGAGCATGGTTGGAGCCGTATGCATATTTTGGAAATCTGATGAGCGTGAATACCCCGGGGACAGGAGAACGATATCACTGGGTCAATACGCGATCACATATACACCTCTCAGTATCCGTAAGTCTTGTATGGTTCCTTCAAATTAACACATACGTAATTCGAATGCAGCTTTAAATACCTCAATTATACTTATCAGAATCAATGGATTAGAAGCACCTGAAACCGGACCTATTGCTTTCAAGTCACAGTTACACACGCCCATTTGACCAAAGCCACTCTGGAATCACTGCAACAAATTCTCTTGACTATATTTCTACTGTGTATTCCTTAGTTTCCACATTCAGATTGATTAGATTATTTCTCACACTGACTGTGTAACCCCAATCTCTGCTTTGTGGTGTCCACTTGTTCAAGTATTTCTAGACTATGGCTCAAATAATGTAGAACATTTTCTAGATCAGAATCGTCATCATTTGATTGGTTTATGAGTGAAATGGTTGGAGGCAATCGGCAGGAAGCCTAAGACCCAGGTTTCGTGCTAGTTGGCACTCATCAGCAAGGCGTATCTGCAACCTTGAAGGAACTCATGTCCCTTCTGAGATTCGAACCCCCGTCACCCAGTGCTGCAGTCAGAGACGTTACCACTGAGCTATTCAGGCTAGCGACTGAATGATTACTTCTGTAAAACTGTTGAAATGACTTCATCGTAAACAATTTTCATCACTTTTACGTCTTCCCTCTTTTATTATACGTTCCAATAGTTGACAAATGTGTATATTATGGAGGATACTGATATTATGAAAAAGTAGAGGTCTGCGTAAATGAGAATTCGATATGGAATGTTAGTTCCATTGCTGACTACTAAAACGCTGCATATCACACACACACACAAATGTTCCACAGTTGTCTGCATGATCTATCGAAGAAATCACATTCGATTATTTCCTCAACTGCTTTCGTTGTCTAGGCAGTGCACTGTTCAAGAAACTCTTATGACGAAAACTGGTTTCCACTCTCTCCAACACAACGATATATATGGATCATTCTACTAATCAAAAGACTCAAGCGATGTCACATCATACACAGCTACATAAAGGTGGAAGTGCTTCAATTCGAAGAGAGATAATTGATGACATTGTCGCCACTGGTCAGTCGGTCTCGAAACAGAACTCTCTCAATCTTATCAATAACATTACATAAGTCATCTCCGTAAAATATAACGATTTGACTCATTTGAACTACAGGTTCTCAAAACATTCTTATGAATAACCCTGGTTTATGTGGACCGTAAAACTAGTTCATCTTCAGCATATAATTGGTACTTCGATTCTAGCTGGGTTGCTACCGAAAGCTTAACCATATTATACAATATTCTCCTCCTATGTTCCTCAGATTGAGAATATTAGCATCATCATCATACTAACCACCCTACAGTTTGCATTGTTTACAAGGAAGAAACCATAACACGATCAATTTGTAGTGCGATTTCCAATGTTTTGAAACTTTCTTTTAACGTCTACATATTCGGACTGATTCCAAACTCAATTTTTCGTCCTCTCCCGTTGTGCTGTCAACAAGCACACTCTTTGTGTTTGCAGTACAGTCATATTTGTTAGGAAAGCTCTGAATCACTTTGAAACAAATAGTCCCTACTATGAATTTGAGCAGTGTTATTAAACGATGTGACGTGTCTGCGCAATGTATTTCAAACAATCTAATCACGCATACTCTTACTTGTCAAGTCAATACATGTGAAAAATAAAGGCCGTTTGAAGTTTACAAAGTGAAAATAGGATTTCTGAGTAATAAGTCAAACTATCAGTACATGTTTACAGAAAGAATTTATGATTACTCGTCACCTACTCTGGTTGTCATTATCTGAATGTACAACCAAACGTAGCATTATTAATCCTCATTATTCCTAAAGGATCTGGGTGACCTTGTGTATTATAAATAGCCTTATTTTTCACATAGGTTGGCTTAAAAATTAAGAATATGGGTAACAAGATTGTTCGAAATGTATTGCGCAAAAACTTTACACTTACGAGATATCCTCTGTCGTCTAATAACACTATGTACATCTTTCACCCAGGACAAGCTTGTCCTTTTACATAAAACAAACTGACTGCTAAAGCGAGCACATATCCAACTGTCAGAGTCTTTCTAATCCAGTGTCATCTTAAGTACTAACAGGTTAGGAAGAATACTGAATTATTGGAAAACAACGCAAATTACATTCAGCAAGTTCTCGTGAAGTGTAAATTATCAGCAGCACTGCCAGCCAATTAAGTCTGTGAAGAAGCCTCACAAGTGAGCATCAGAAAAGATTAGCCTCCGTCCAGTTACAAAGATTACCACTTCACTACAGATTGGAAGACAAGACTTGTGAGGCGAAATGTAAGTTTACAATGAAGTCGTTCTCGCATACAATTAAGACAACTACTGACTTAGCTTTATCATCTAGTTCATGATGGCAGTCTCAATCACAGTCACACAATGGGGATGTCCACAAATACTTCACACAGTGATATACAACCATCTCCACTATGTCGGAGAATAGTCTGACTACGTGGATCGCTGTGGTTCCTGATTCAGTGATTCGAAACCAACATTCAAGTGGAGTCTGTCGATGGCTGATATCATCACACATATTTAGTAAAACACATGACTATACTAATTAGGACCACTTTCAGATCAGTCGGAATACTAATCAAGCAACATAAAATTCAAAACCAAATCAGCACACCAAACAACACCAGTGGATATAAAACCAAAGAAGACATCATACCCAAGGTGATCAACACACAAGCGAACGCATACGCACACGCACACGTTCTCGCCTACATTTTTCTTTTGTTTATTTCACCTCACTTTCTCAAAACGTCATCGATGAACTAAAGGTCACAGTGAAAGAGAAATCACGCAATCGCAGATGTAGTCTGTATGGTATGATACTACTATGCTTTACCTAGATGAACATTCTCTCAGAAATCGATTGAGAAGCCAGATCAGATTCCTGGCTAATTAGTTACCCGCTACGATATCAGTGTAGAATCAGATACTGGCACGCTCAGTGAATTTCACTATCTCAAAATAGAAGTTGTATTACTTCTGAGTGTGCATAGTGTTTGTGTGCATGGGTGTAAGGGTGCATGAAATGATCTGAAGATGAAATTCTCTGGCATGATTACTTTTTATTCCTTTACGTTCCCAGTGGAACATAGGGCATCAAGCTAGAGGCTTGAAGTTTCTGTAGCAGTGTTTATTTTTACGAGATGGGGTTGCTAGCCTCATGCCTAACCTTCCCTCTTTACCAGTTCTATTACTAGCTTAGTGAAGTAAAGGAGTGCGTCGGTCGAGGATCAAACCCCGGACCATGTGCATGGTCGGCTGTGCCACTGACATGATAATGATAATAAAGCGGTCTACTCAAATTCCACAACCTCATAGAATCATTCAGATGATGACGTCAACAATGCGCATATGAACAATTGTTTTTTACAAAGTACAATATAGTCTACTATCAGACACTACTAAGACAGGAAGTGAGGCATATAAGAGAAGCTTTGAAGCTTAATAATTACCCTGATAAATTAGTTAGAAAGTATGTTGGGAAATGTAAAATTAAAATAAATAATGATAGTAGTGATAGTGATAATAATAATAATGACCACATGCATGTCAAACATACGCAAGACAACACCAACAATTAGGAATCTAAATCGGAAATCTTACGCAGAATTCTTAACAAGGCAGGAATAAAAGTGGCATTCAAACTCACAAACTCAATTAGAAACAAGCTTTGTCGGTTAAAGGACCCTGTGGAGTCTCTAAACCAAAACAATTTAGTTTATCTAATACCCTGCTGGAATGATTGTCAGGTCAAATACATAGGTCAAAGTAGTAGACAAGGGGCATTCAGATTACCGAGCAAAATCTAGATTAGCTGACTGAAATAAGATAAGAAATCTAGAGAATAGTTCACCTATAGCACTACACGCAATTACACACAACCATACAATAGGATGGGATGTGATGACAGTTTTAAAATCTAATGTAACAGGGTGGAGGGAGAGATTGATAACAGAAGCTTTCTTTAGAAAACAGAAAGATTGAGCGAAGAAATATTTACTTTTCAATTAGATCCTCATCTCTGCCTCTACTCTAATACATGTATAGCATTTTTATTACAATACACAACGGTTTACCAAACAAGTGGTGATATGTTTGTTAACAATAATTAAACAGTGTCAAAATGTCAATGAGTTGATAATTAACGGAGAAAATCAATACACATTTAAAAAGTAGAAATGGATAGAATGAATTAATTTTACAAGGATAACACTAAAAGATGAAGTGGTCAAAATAAATAAAAATAAAATAATTTGGACAATTATAATTTTTATAGTTTTTAAAGCTTTAGGGGGAGGGGGGCGACGTAGTCCTGTTCATGCATTCTTCT